CAGTTTGTATATATGTTGTTATTGTTGTATATATACTTCATATTACAATATTTTTTTTAAAGCTAATTTCGTAGTAAATAATACATATTAGGCACAACATAAATCTAATAATACAATGCTAAACATAAACAAATTAATAGTTATAATTTTAGATGAAAACATTTGAACAAATATGATTAAAATATATCAAAGTGATCACATTTACACAGGACTAAATTGTCATTGAAACACAGCACTATATATTCAGTAACACTAAATTGTCACTGAAACACAGCACTAAATTTTCAAAGGACTAAATTGTCATTGGAGAACAGCACTAAATAGTAAAAAAGAGTGTAAGTCAATTTGCTCAAAGTTACTTGGCTTGGCTTAATGCAATAGTCGTATTACTGAATTATTTATAATTAAAATATTAATGATTTTGTTATTAATAGTTAATTATCTAAAATCATAAAATCCCTTTTGAAATAAATAATAACTTATGCATAGTTAATATTATACAAATACTGTCTTTTGATAAGGTAAATATGTGATTTTTTTTCCTTTGAAAACATTGATGATAACTGAGGCAAACGCCCGAAATCAATATCAGTTTTTTTCAAAAGTCAATTTAACCACACATTTAACAAAACAAAAGACTGTAATTGTTTTTCAATTCCATATTCTAAGAGAAAAAAAAAATCATTGAAAATTATTTACCAAATAAAATTGAGAATGGAAATGGGGAATATGTCAAAGAGACAACAACCTGAAACCAACTATACATCAAACATTTTTACATAATTGTACATGTAAAAACGCGTGACGTTTAGCGCAGTGAATATCACTTTTCTTCGGGTGAACATGCTTTTTTTTCAAATCCAAAATCAAATTCATATAGAAAAACCTACTTAAATAATACCAATATGGAATGATTGGGAATACTCCACAAGAACCAAAATGCTTTAATTATCATCGATAACTGTGTTGAATATTTTGAAGTTGTAACACAGTAGGGTCGTGCTTCAACATTTCGTATACAAACATTGTAGCACGGCTGAGTTCCGTCCCTTTCAATGTATCAGGACTTATATACGAAAAGTACGAAAAGTACGAAAATTACTTATAATGACATAGTATGTGTTTCCTCCTTCTAAACTAAATATACAAATCTAAAAAAATTACTCATTGATATGGATATGATCAAAACAATGCTTCGACGAAAGGCCCTATTATGAAAAAAATAGTCTATACAATATAATCATCCTGTATATGAAAAAATCTTTACGATAATCCTAATACAGTTTAATTTGCATTACATTATCTTTTTTTCGCACACGTGTTCGGTAACTTAAGTGACCATCAAACTGGACACTGGACGAATTCCTGTTAATTTTATCAATGAAACACAAGGTATGCAAGATTCGATTTGCCAGTTTATGTTTTTTCACAAAATTTTCGTAATACAGATAATTTTTACTATAGGCTTATATAAATAGCGCATTCTTCAGAAAGTTGAGAAACTTTACACAATTTGCGTTTTCATCCTTTGAAAAAGTCATTATTTTGATGACAAACATTATGGGGGCGGGATCAATATACCGTTATTTATACATCAGACCGTACTGGTTACCGGAACTTTGGATACACCAAACCAGGTATTTCATATCCTAGAAACAGGCAATGTATGCCCTAAATTTTATAATTTATTCATACATTTTTGTAGTATTCAAAATTATCAGTCAATATGTGATCTACAATGATCACCTTTCATTTGATTCCTTAATTACTAAAATATATTCTACGTAGTTTGCGAAGGAACTATTTTGTTTTAAATATGTACTACTTTCCTGTATGCTTTTTTTAACGGTGCCGATTTGGTGGTGTTACATCTTACAAAGTCTATCCGAATCATTTTGCAAAGAATTCCGCTCATTCTGGTGCTAGAGGCCGTTTTAAACTTGCAAAGAGGTGATTTTTTTTTTGCTCCTTGTTGAAGGCCTCACTGTGAGAAGGAGAACAGCAATTAAAAGCGCGATTCCTTTTTTTTTTTGTGTTTTTTGCTGTGCATGTACTGATTTTGTGTCGTGGATACCCCATATCCTTTGTTTTTCTATTGCAGTATATTTAAGCACATCTATGCAAGGTAAAAAATGTGACTGTGTGTTTTAACAGAAAATACTACTTTTCCCTGTCTTATTATGCTGTTATCATTGCAATTTAACCCAAACGTATGTATCGAGTAAATAAAATCTAAATATGACCATTCTGACTATTTTTAAACATAAAAGATCAATTTGATAATTTGAAGGTCGGATTCCTCTACCTCAAAAAATCTTGTTATGCGATTTTAAAGTAAACTGTTAATTTTTACCGACTGTTGGAAGTCAATTTGAAAAAAGCCTATTTTTGGGTAAGAGAATCTAATTCAAAGTAATTTCACATATATGGAATACCTCTATTTTTGTCATGTTTGGTAACTTTTCGGAATAATAATTTTAAACCATTACCTCTTAACATGAATATCGAAGAAAAAGTAATGCGATCCTACTTGGGTAGCGTAAATTTTTTATTACAGTACCTGATCATTCCTCCGATCAATCATTCAATCCAAGGATTTCCCACTATACAAATCCTTGTTCAATCTAAATTCTATAAATATAATAATCTTCTCTAAATAAGGTATAAGGTCAAAACTGAGGTTCAATATGTCACTGATTAACCTTAATGATGTAATTCAAGGGAATCTAGCCGGTCACAGCAATGAAAAAGTAAAATCGCTTCGGACGTACTACATTTATAAAGTCTTATTTTTATTGTCTAAGAATTTTAACAAAATTAAAGTGGGAAATAACGAAAGAAAAATGACAAAGATTAATTTTCAATATACGAATTCAAATTTTGCTTCTAAGGGTCATTAGGTTATAGCCAGTGTATTCCCCCAGGGTACAATTTGACATCATTCACACTACATATATGTACAATTGATAAAGGTGTTGAAGCGGTAAGTGACTTTATAAACTTTATCGTTAAGAATAATAAAAAATATAAAGAAATAGGAATTTGAGAATAGTTTTAATCATACTTTATCGATGCTATCATAAACACAATTGAAAAAATACAACGTACTTTGTGTATTTATCATTAAAACAGAGATTCTCTGTAAAAGTATATGTATTTCCACATTTAAATGGCTCATTCGAAATTTTCGATTTAACAATTATTTCAGCGTAAGTTTTATTTTTGCAACTGTTTTCGGGTTTTTAATTTCACATTTTAGAAACTGATTACATAAATTGATTATCTTATTATGATTTATTTGGTTCAAAAAACAACTTAGTTACATGTATTTGTGTGATAATTTTATTCCTATTTTCTTCCCTAATTTTCATACATTGTTACCAGGGGCTGGTTTTAAATACCCACTGATGGTATGTTGTAAATGCAATGTTAGTTCAAAACGGAGGAAATATTATGGAATAATGTCTCCGCTGGAAGAAATATTACAGTAGTTGTTCCTGACGGAGCAAAGGGTATAAAAGTTTGTTCTGAACGGAACAAATAATATATCTTGTTCATATATAACTATCTTACGGCAGTATTGTTGAACAAATCATACGACTTGATATATATATAAACTTCGTCTGAAATTTAGCCCAACAGTGCTAGATCTGCAAATTTGCGTTAGAAAATTTTTGTTCTTGCCTCAACTGGTTGCGAACACAAATGGCGTGTAGATGGTAAACTTTTCAGATCAGTTGTATTTATCAGTAGTAAAGGATGACAATTTTACTTACCATGCAGTCACGTCATTTTTATTTTTTTAAACGTCTAATTATGTGACAATTTTACGACAGACGTTCGCCGTCGTATAACCTTACATTACATTACATTACATAGCCCTGTACACATTTGTAACATTTGGTTATCTGATGGACAGCGTTAAAGTTGTCACAAATTTAGATGATTATATATATTTACATAGAAGTAGTGTTATCATGTTTCAGCAAAAAGTTCAGGTTTTGACAATTAAACCAGAAAAAGACAGTACAACGATTCATATTGCCATGCAAAAGCAGTGATAATGTATCAATTTGATGACAGAAGCACCGAGGGATCATGGCAAATTAAAAGTGCACATGCTCTTGAAAAATTCAGAAAACACGTTAAATGGTGGGGATAAAATTTTCAAGACATTGACATTTCTGCCACTAGGAAGTAACAAAAGTTTAAAAAAAAATCATGAACCCTCTGGAGTATCGGATAATTTTAGAATGTTATATATTTTATACCAAAGAATTTTTTACAGTCACCATTGTAATTTTAATTCGATAGTTATCTCATTGGCAATCATACCACATCTCATTCTTTTTATATTTGTAGAAGAGGGTGTAATGGGGTTAGGTGGATTTTTTCGTTTGAAAGATTTCAATTTTGGGTACAATTTTGTGGGCGGGTTCAAATATTATTATAGGACAGAAACGATTATTAAAACACATGGCTTTGAAATCATTTCGGTTTATCACCGCGATATAGCCGTAATGGTGCGGCGTAAAACAATAACAAATCAATCAATCAACTATTTTCGATTTCGAGATCCGCCACATTCTGAATGCCCCTGTCTCAAGTCGTTTGTTTGCTGTATATCATATTTGTTTTTCTTTTATTTTTTTGTACATGGCGTTATTTGTCTTGTTTGAATTGTTTTACATTTGGCAGTTTGAAGCTTGCTACGGGTATGAGTTTTGCTTATTATTGCTTATTAATGAAGGACGTACGATGACCTGTAGTTCCTAAATTCTGCGTCATTTGGTCTCTGGTGGAGAGTTGTCTCATTGGCAAACATACCACATCTTATTTATATATTGTTATGGTCTTTTGTAAGTTTCTTAATTTCATAATTTCATTTTGTAATACTCTAATCCATTATATACAAATATTTTTTTTTTGAGAGAGAATAATTTTTCATTCCATTGTATATTAGATTATAATCTATCTTACTACGATATATTGTAGAATACTCTTGGGGAAGTAGATACTATGTCGTGGACGTTTTGGATATGCCTGAAAGTACTTATTACATTTTGCCTGGCGTATGATAACATTATGAACACGGCTGTACAATATAGGCAACCACTGTACAGACATGATTTTGATTCAAATAACTTTCAACAATCCTTTCAAAACGCCGTTTCGTTTCAAATTATAGATAATATAAAAAAAGAAGAAATTATGAATATTTTGTCAACTTACCATGATCAAATGGTTCCTTTAAAAAGCGATCGTTCAGCTAAATATACCAAACATTTACAAAAAATCTACATACCAGTAGAAAACATTGAGAAAAATAATCAAAACCTTGATCCTGTCCTCGAATACATGGACTGGAGAAATGAACCAATGCGTGACGAAGAAGAGGAAGAGGACTTGGCATCATGGAAAGATTTCTGTGAGTATCACACAACAATCTAATTAAATATATTTAGAAATGTCATCGAAAGAGACAAAGTGTGTGTGTAAGTAATATAAAATTCATTTTTTTTACTTCTAGGGATTTAAGGAATTAAATATCCGGGAATTGAAATGTTCAAATTACAAAATACAAAGTAGACGGTATTAACGGTTGAATAATTTGACTGACATTTTTTAAAACCTTGTCTTTCAAATCTGATTTATGAGCAATATAATTTGCTTTTATTGATGACAAATTATGGTAAACTGTTGCATATTGTGTGAAAAAAAACAATTAAAGCAAAATTATTCACGACATCTAGGCTGTTTCATGCAAACTGATTTTCCGATATTTTATATACTCAGTAATCATTTGAACAATTTATACAGCAATGTCCATAACCCATATTGAATAAAATGACACCTTTTTCAGTTGAGAATTCAGTATCATGGACACCATGTGAAACATTTGTACATGGATTATCATTTATACCATTGATATTGCGGGATACTGTATTCAGGGATTGGGCTGTTGAACAAGCATGTCAGGAAAGTACGTATGATTACTGTATTCAGGGATTGGGCTGTTGAACAAGCATGTCAGGGAAGTACGTATGATTATTGTATTTAGGGATTGGGCTGTTGAACAAGCATGTCAGGAAGGTACGTGGGATTATTGTATTTAGGGATTGGGCTGTTGAACAAGCATGTCAGGAAGGTACGTGGGATTATTGTATTTAGGGATTGGGCTGTTGAACAAGCATGTCAGGAAGGTACGTGTGACTACTGTATTCAGGGATTGGGCTGTTGAACAAGCATGCCAGGAAGGTACGTGGGATTACTGTATTCATGGATTATGCTGTTGAACAAGCATGGCAGGAAGGTGCGTGTGGTTACTGTATTTAGGAATTGGTATGTGTGATATCATATTGATTTCTAAAGATTGCATGCTGTAGAATTAATATGGATACATAAAGCTAAATCTTACACGATTTACCTAAAAAAATAAAAAGTTTATATGATCCCGTAATCAGACGAGCAAGTATAAAGTAATATGTGAAGTGCCTTTTTCATAATGAAAACCCTACAAATTAAACTTGATTGATAATATATATATACATAGAACGTCTAGATAGAAGTCAACAATTATTCTTTAGAGGGTGTCAGATCGTTTTGGAAAACGATACTTTACACAGTAAATAAATGAAATATACGTCTAAAATAGTGTACAACAACACCAAAACAATGATAAAAAATATGAAACAAAAAATACAAAATTCGATAGATATTTTGGATACCAAATATCCTTCATCAGTAAGCGCAGTCAGGTATAAAATGACATCACTAGCTATGATAATTTTCAAAAAATCTTGACCATCTTACAAGTTTTAACACCGAACATGGTTTGCAGAAAAGTAAAAGTTACAATTCAGTAATCTTGAACCGATGTTTGGTGTTTAATTTGTAACATGGTCAAGATTTTTGAAAATTAGCATAGCACGACGCCATTTTACACCAGGCTGCTCGTACTGGTGAAGGATATTTGTTATCCGAAATATTTATTGAATTTTGTATTTTTTGTTCATACCTTCGTCGAATTTGAGATTTTAGAGTAGTTCAAATCGAACAGTTCTTTTCATTTGGGATGTACAAATACGCAGCCTCTGTTGTAAATTACTTACCCTTCGTCAACTTTGAAATTTTATATTATTATATTTCAAATACTACAGTGCTATTCATTGAGGATATATGTCTACGCAGTCTCTGATGTAATAATTTCACTTTCGTCCCCTGTTAAATTTTATAGTTGTATCAGGTCATATCGCACATTACATTACCTTTCTTTTGAATGCATATCTATGCAGTCTCTGTTGTAAATACTTAACCTTCGTCAACTTTGAAATTTTAGAATTATACACGCGTGGTTTGGTTTTTAATTTGTATAACATTAAGGATTGTTTTAGTAAGGTCAAAATAGATTGATATGATTAATTTTACATCATCATTATCATACTGATGAAGGATATCTGTTCTCCGAAATATTTATTGATACTTGTATTTAATGTTGCCAAAAGGCCAAGTGCAACTACTGGGCCAAATTTGCCTATTATTTTGAAAACTGCTTTATATAGAGAAATTCTGACAAGAACAAAAAAGTTCAGAATGCTAAGCTCTACCTATTGTCTATTTTATCCAACCTGTCAGACGACTTCTTATATCTTATAGGAGTAATTGCTCTTAAATGACAAATTTTACCATTTTTACATTTTTTCCTATTACCACAAAAATTATAACAGATAGACAGAAACTTAAAAAAGCAAAATAATCAGCAAGACAAGATCTACAAATAAGTCAACAAGTCCGAAATCGTCAGACAACTCCTTATTGGAGTTATTGCCCTTTAATGACGATTTTTACCATTATTGTCTTTTATTATCATTTATTATCTTGAAAAATGTAATAGATAGCTAGAAACTTTAAATAGCACAAATGATCAGCAATACAAGATCTACAAATGAGCCATAATGGCCGAAATCTTCAGTCAACTTGTTTTTGGAGTTACGACCCTTTAATGATATTGTTTTACATTTTTTGCATTTTTTGCCTTTGATCTTAAAAACTATAATAGATAAATAGAAACTTTAAAAAAGAAAACAAAAATATATCAGCAGGATAAGATCTACAAATATGTAAACATTACTGAAATTGTCAGTTAACTCTTAATAGAGTTGGTCGCTATAATGCAGATTCTTACTTTTAAGTGGCCATTGTTGAAGATGCAGGTGAGCGACACAGGCTCTATAGAGCCGCCTCTAGTTTAATGTTGGTGCTGTTTTGTACACTTTTTAGGCGACTAGGTGTATATATTATTTTCTATTGTGTACAGTATTGTATCTCTAAAAACGCTTTCGGGGCCTCGGTGGCCGAGTGGTCTAAGTAGTTACTACTGCAATCACTAGCCAGTCAACACTGAGGTTGTGAGTTCGAACCCCGCTCGTGCGGGTGCACTCGACTCCACTCTTAATTGACTAGGATTGTCAGTTTTCCTATCAAAGGTCGGTGGTTTTCTCCGGGCACTCCAGCTTCCTCCACCAATAAGAACTGGCCGCCACGAAATAGCCTAAATGTGACGCTTAAAAGTGGCGTTAAAACACCAACAATCAATCAATCAATCAAAAACGCTTTTTTTAATAACAGGACTAATTGTTTACTAAAACATTTTCATTATTAATTTTGTAAATATTTTTCAGTATTTTTTAGGTTTGTAGTTCCTCCAATTACCAACGTGTTTGGTGTTGATTATAGGAATTTGTAAGTAACATCTGATTCCTTATTTATTCAACTATTGCACTTAAATATAAGGAACAAGTACTAATATCAGGCAGCAGAGTCTCATTAAACCTTTGCACGTTTTTCTTTTTTTTTCTTCACTTATTTGACTGCCAAACTTTAGTACATATAGTTAAAAGGCGAATATCTAAAAATTAAGACAAAATGAAGCACAGATGAAAAAGAAATATTATATAAAGAAAACATATTGTCATATAAAAATATAGCTGTTTGTGACGAAGAATATAGAAAAATATAACAAAGAAATAACATTTCAATTGAAAATGAATGAGCACATGACAAATTATGAGACTTCTGCCCTCAGTTGTAATGACTGTCTTCAGTTGTAATGACTGTTTTATAAAGAACTCATAAAACTTTTACATGTTCTATAGTAGAAGGTTGGGATTTCTAAACTCTTGGTTATTTAGTGGGAGACATAAAATTATCGGTAGGTAAACATTATCCAATAAACTTTCTCTCAGATTTTCGTTGATTTTACATTCGAGGAGGAAGTGTTCTTTATCCTCAAGTAAGTTGCACAGTTAATGTAGTCAATCTTTTCAAGGAATGTTATAATAGCGGCCATTCTCTATTTCAAGAGTATGATAACTAATTCTTAGTTTTGTAAAGTATTTTGTTATAAAGCAGTCATGAAAAGCCTAAAAAATTCTCTATCCAAGCTAAGTTTGATTTTTTATACAGTACATGTAACGTTACAGTTTACTATTTTTATCATAACTATTACTACTTTTTTCAAATATATTTTAAATGTTTCTATTATTGCATTTTTAATTCATGGGCTTTAAAGACTTTTCTTCCTTCAAGTTTTTACAATTTGTAAATTCATCTGAAAAGTATGAGTTTGGCGGAATATTCTTAACATATGTATACCAAGAATATGCGAGTAAAGCAGCTTTGACAATATGAATACTTTTTTAAGTTGAGGATTTATATTTTCAGTATTCAGTCTTGCTAAGTAAGATGCAGACTGTGAACAAAATTGAATGTTCCAAAGGCATTCCTCCTAGTTCCGCTTTGATGCTGTTTTTCCTGTCTACAGAGTTTTATAATACAGGAAATTTGGTCAAAATTTTTGTTTACCTCGATACAGGTGATATCTGAATTGTAAGTTAAAACTGGCGGTATCAATAATTATATGAGCATCAAAGTTAAGAAATGGAACTACACCATTAGGGACTGCTGACCCCTCCGGAGCACCTTTGTTCACCATCGGGTTTTGGTGGGTTCATGTTGCTCAATCTTGAGGTTTCTTTGTAGTGTTTTGTAGACTTGTTCATCTTTTCGTTTTTAATCAGTTTCCCCCTTGGCTTGTTTAGGTTTAATGTTTTTATTTTGCACCGATAAATAACTCTTTTTATGTCACTTTCCTAGTCATTCCTGATATCATCCACATTTTGTGAGGTTCATGTTGCTCAATCCTTAGTTTAGTCAAGAACCTGATGTTCAGTGGTTGTCGTTTGTTGATGTGGTTCATAAGTGTTTCTCGTTTCTCGTTTTTTATATAGATTAGACCTTTTGTTTTCCTGTTTAAATGGTTTTACACTACTAGTAGTCATTTTTGGGGCCCTTTAAAGCATGCTGTTTGGTGTGAGTCAAGACTCCGTGTTGAAGGCCGTATTTTGACCTATAATGGTTTACTTTTACAAATTGTGACTTGGATGGAGAGTTGTCTCATTTGCAATCATACCACATCTTCTTATATCTATTCTATGTATTTTTTGGTAGGCTTGTTTGCCTGTTTGCCGTCTTTTGGTTTTGTTTTGCCATAGAGTTTGCAGTTTCTCTTTGCCATATGAGCTTTGAAAGTCATCTTGATATTTTCATTTATTTGTTTCAGCAAAAATGTTCTTTGTATTGTCTAATCTGTTGTTACGTGTCATCAGCTATAAGTCGATCGACATTAAAGGGGGAAAATATTTGTTTTGCCTATTACGCCTCTCTTTGTGTCGCTGCATTCGTGCTCATTAGCTTCTTCCTTTACTTCCTTGTTTATAATCACTGGTGGTTGCTTAGAATGTAATCTTTTGGAAAAGAAATTTAAAAATAACTTCTGTCGTGTCATTTACATTTCGCATGCAGTAAAATGTTGACACTAGTGTGTCATTATGGGATTTGATTTGTTTTATTAGGTAACACTACATAAACCGTATTGTACCTCCATACAATGGTTTAACAAGGTTATCAATTTCCATTCATATAGTAGTATTTTGGTCTTATAATGTGTATATTACATTCCTTAAATGCTGTTATGTATTGGAAAATATAAATTAATACAAACAAATTTTCATTCCAGGAAATTCTAGATTTGGATATAAGGAAACACTTGAAGCATATTTCATCACAAGAAAATGGACATATACGTGTCAAGAAATAAGTAAAACAATGATTGAAATATATGACAGCATTTGTTTTCAAGGAATTATTGATCTAGAACAAGCATATATATATATTTGTTATATCAGCACTTTAATTCCATTATGGGTTGATTTCTCTAGATGCATACGATTAACACCAAATCGTAGTGACTTCTAACACAACTTAAAGTGATGATTTGCTTTATTTTTGACTTATGTGACTTGTCATTTTAAGAAATGTAAGAATAAATTGAGTTATTGTTCCTTCCTAGCAATCATATTCATACACAGATACTCTATATGCCGTAGATACATATATTCTGGTGACCAAACACCGACTTATTTAGCTTTTAAACTAAGTGGTACATGTAGACCTCGGACATTTTCAAAGTTCTTTTCATTTCCTCATAACGACATCATTTGTCTTACAATTTATTTATTATCTAATTCTAGCTCCTTGTCCAAAATCATAAACATGATTGCTATTTACCTTTCTTGTTGACTTGATTTGCCTTTCACACCGATTATTGAGATTTGAACATCGGTAAAATAATGTTGATTTATAACGATGGTACAAAAAAATTGCCTTTTCCCGAGAGAGGAACCATATTTAAATAGGATTGTTTTTAATTTTCAGTACAATCTCCATTCTACGAAGACATGAATTTAAAATGCACCCGTCCATTCTGGTTATCGTGTTGTTTAAGAGAAATTAAAAACATTCAGACAAATTTACATATAAAAAATTACAAACATTCAGATAAAAAAAAGAATCTAGCCCTTATTATAATCTTTACAATGAATCCAGGGAGTAATCAGGTTTTTGTGTTACCTGGATTTGTCTCTTTGAAATCGAGTTACGAGATTTGACCATCAATAAAAATCAATCAATTTTGAAGACAATAACATTAACGGTACAAATTTTCTACACCAGATGCGCATTTCGACAATAAATGTCTCTTCAGTGATGCCTGACGCCAAAATATCTGAAAATCCAAAGCTTATTAAAAAGACGATGAGCTGAAAACAAAAAACGACAAAAAAGTATAGTCAGAGCAACGATAACCAGAATTGATGGGTGTATTTTAAATTGATATTGGGAAAGTATAAAATTCAAGGGAAAAAAAAAACGGAGGGTAAGTCTAAAAGAGGCGTGGTCGAGTGCGTCGACAGGGTGAGCTTTTCTGCTAAATATGCATCACCCGACATAAGAGTCCACACTCCGTCAAAGTTACACTATCAGGGGAAAAAAGTACCAACCGAAATTTAAAAATACCGGTAATGGCTCTAATAAACTTTAAAACATCTTCCTTTGACTTTTGTAAAAGAGATTGAAGCTTTCAATTAATACATGCAAATACAGCTTTTTTAATAGCAGAAATTACTGCATAAACTTATTATCAAAATCTTTTTTTTACATGCATAAAATTGAGAATGGATGCATATTGATTTAGAAACCTGGTTTATTATTTGTGGACGTAAAATTGCTTTGAAAATTATAGAAAAAAACCCCGCAAAAGTGACAATTTATCTTTAAAAGGGTTTATAAAATCTTGATATTGGGAAAGTATCCTACCGTAGTCTATAATCGGTCATAACGTTGGTTCGTTCGGATTTTGTTATTGTACTTATCATACGGGAAAACTCCGCATTGACGTCACTACGCTAATACCAGCGTATAAAATTAATGCAGAATACATTTTTTCTACACTTCTAAATAAAATGATATTTCTAAAGATATGTTTTCATTATTATTTTTAAGTATTGTACAAAAATGCAGATTTTCTAATGGCCATTTCAAACCTGACTTCCGAATGCCTAAAAACATTTCAGAACTTAAGAAAACCCCTCTTCCGGCCTCCATTGCTTTGTTTACATTTCATTGAGCGTCATCAATCTTAATGGCAGACCAAACAGGCCAAGCAAATCGTATTTTTAAGAATTTCAAAATGGCATGCACCTTACGTCTTGCGCGATTTTCCCGCGAAAAAAACCCCATCCAAATTGAAAGAAATACTTTGGGAAACAAACGATAATCATGCCATATTTTTGTTCAGGAATAAAGAGTATATTAAAATACATATATTTTTCATAAAAAAAAATTTGGTTCAATATAAAGAGATCGATATTCTGACCATAAGTAAATATTCATATAAAATTCCATTGGTGTCAAATGTCATGGCTAATAATGAGGTTTCCTATTGAATAAACCCCCAATTTATTGCAAACTATTTCAAAGCAATATCATACAAACAAATAATATAATTGCCTTGTATTAAAAAATCACCTAATTGACAGTAGAGCTATTTGATTGGTTATAACGATTCAATGTGTCACGTGGTTTTGAAGCCTTTGGAATTTGAATGTAAACAAACCGGGTCAGCTGCTCTAGTATGGAACAACATCGTACATTCGGTGACTGAGAAACAATTATGAGTAACCAAGCTTGACAATACACAGTAATAAAAAACAAAACTAAGTTTACAGAAAAATAAAATAAAAAATGGCCTTAAGTGCACGACTTACCACCATTGCGGGATATAAAATATATATCGCAAACTTGAATTGCCTCTAAACAGACACTTTGTATACACCAGATATTGATAGTCGTTACGGATACAGATAGATGATTTCGGTATAAGGGTGAAAATGTGCCATCATTTATGGGCTCAATTGGATCTATATTTGCATGCTAACAAACAACGAATGTGTATTTAAAACAAACTGAACATAATTTTCTCATTATCACTGTGTGTGAGCAGTAACCCTCTATTGATAGCAAAGTTTTAGCTGGGAAATATATACTTCATATGCAGGAGATCTGGTCTCACATTTGGAAAACTGAGATTATCTCTTTTGTCGTAAACCCTCTTTTTAAATTTCTAGAGGTTAGTCAAGATCTGAGGCAAACATTACTATAACTGGGGTATCCTTTATTATTGTGTATCCTGTTATACATTTGCGTTCAACACATTCACCATACTTTGAACTATTCAGTGACGAGACATCATGTACAAAGTGGAACCTGAAGATAAAATATTGAAGCTTCATTTCCTTTTTCTCTGGATTCTCTTATAGGACGTTTGCCTGCCTCATAGGAACTACGAAACAAGTCGACTGAAAGGGACGTAGTTGGTTCCCATGAGAATGACAATTGTTTGTTGAAAACACGTCTTCCAAACGTAATGCATATGCTGTCAATAAGATAATCAAGCATTTTGATGTTGTCAGTTACAGTTAACTTCTTTTTCGACACCGGGGCATAACAAACGTATGATTTATCTCTTCTACAAACAAAATAATTTTATCTGCGGTGAACATTCTGTTTTATGAAGCAAAGTTGGACTATATTTTTCAATTTGTCTTCACGTTTAAAATGAGAAATGCTAGCGAAAATAGTAGAAAAGTTTTTATACTATTGCATGACGAGAAGGACTTTGAATTTAAGCACTCTAACAAATTTATTAATATTTGAGTATCCACATCTGATTCACACCAGCCCTATAGTGGGTAGTTTCAAAGTTATTTTGAAGCTTAGTTTTGATTGCTGATAAATTGAATGTTAATAATTTCGAAAGCGGTTTCATAAAGCATTTGGCAGACCCAGCAACATAACGTTGTTTGAAAGGAAACTTACAGATTTTGGTATCGCGGTTTTTCGGCCCTTTAGCTCACACCTACAGAGTGTAAAGGGTCTATAATCAACTACTCGTATAAAATCCAAAAGATCGCCTTGTTTTATCAGAGGTTGGGAAATCTTAGGAAAATGGCAAATTAAGATCAGAAAAGCCTCAACTTATACTTGTCATGTATTTTGCTTGATGGAGATGAAGAAAAACCTGTTATTGTCTGCAAAAATGGATGAGAGGTGTCAAAGAAAAAGACGTATTGGTGGCATCATCGTCAGTATGTTTGACACTCAATCAAAAAACTGAAATTTGAAATCTTTGATAGTCACTTTTCCTGGGAATAGGCCCTCAAGTCTCCCCAAAGAAGCAATGTCAATAAATAATTCAAAATGAAAACAATCTCTAGTGGTCATGATTGTCATCTAATTCTAAATTAATTGGAACGTTTCATCCTCCCTACACTTTGTATTAAGGATTTTGTTTAATTAATGACTGGACCTTTCGTTGTTGTGATATATATATATCACTGAAAACCAATATATACTGTCCTGAGCTAAGCATTGCCAGCTTGACAGTGTTCCGACGTTTTGCAACCTCATACTGTCTGTTTTTCTTTAATTGTGTTTAGCAAGGAAATAAGGTTGTTCCTTTTGGAGTTCATGCGATTCATTAAGTTTTTTTGCAGACAATATGTTGCACAGATAAGAAATAGAAGAATACTTGATTATAACAACTGTTTTATATTCATATAAAGGAAGTATTAAAATAGCTTATACATGTAACAATTCAGTTTTATGTTTGGAGAAAAGCTACAATATATCTTTTTCGATATCATATCTGAGTAATTGAAGTCACTTTAAGATCCTTGATCCACTTTTGTAAAATAACGTATTTAAACAAAGGTAACAGTAGTATACCGCTGTTCAAAAGTCATAAATCGATTGAGAGAAAACAAATCCGGGTTACAAACTAAAACCGAGGGAAACACATCAACTATAAGAGGAAAACAACGAAATAACAGAACACAGAAGTGCAACAAAAACAAACAACAATGCAACATTCATAGAAACGAACTATTAAATAACAACTAAGAAGTGAAATAACAAAAATACCGAACTCAAAGGGAAATTCAAAACGGAAAATCCTTTATACAATGGCAAAATCAAAAGCTCACCCACATCAAAGGAATGGAAAACAATTGTCATATTCCTGACTTGGAACAGTATTTCCTTATGTAGAAATTGGTGGATTAAACCTGGTTTTATAGCTAGCTAAACCTCTCACTTGTATGACAGTCGCATATAATACCATTATATTGACAATAATGTGTGAGCAAAACAACAGAATTCACCTATTATATTTTGAGGGGTATTCTGTTTTTTTTTTATAAAACAAACCTCTTTACTTGCAAAATATATACTTTGATAAAAAGTATAAATATACACACTTTTGGCAAATTTAAGCTGGTTTTTATAGGAATTAATTTATGGAAATTATATTATGATGTTTGGAAATTGATGAACTTTACAGAAATATGATTTTCTTCACATTTTGTTGAAAGAAGGATTTACTATAGTGGAAATATATATTTTGGATTAGAAAAGATTTTGTGATTTATGGATTTTTCTGAGTAGTGTTGTCTATAT